TCCAGAGAGTTTGTGGAGAGTCGCTGAGATGTGTTTGTCAGATCCATAATCCACTGTCGTCGGGGGCAACGGCGTGAACAGAGAATAATATTAGTGTGATGTTTTCTCGACACCTCAAATGGCCCGACCACGGACTCAGACAGCCCCCATTTTGTTTTCAGATGAAAGTGACCGCTCCTTGACGTGGGCAGAATGCAAATGGTGACAGCCCTAGCTTTAATTAGGCTTTCTAATTGTTGTTATTGCAGGATCCCACGTCCAAACACAAACCCGTGATAACTTTAATCATACTTTCTCTGACAGGAGCGGGTTACGCTAACGTCTGACACGGAGTCATCATCATGTCAGCCCCACACTTCTGATTATTTGATGTATTTTGTGTGTGTTCCCGCAGCCCAGCAGTGCAGTGAGGGCTGGAGCCTGGTGGGGGAGGCCTGTCTGAGGATCAACTCCAGTCGAGAAAGTTATGACAACGCTCAACACTACTGCAAGAACCTGAACGGGAACATCGCCTCGCTCACCACCTCCAAACAGGTCCATTTTGTGCTGGAGGAGCTCAGGAAGCTGCAGCTGCAAGACAAGGTGGGGATACTGGTCTTACCATGTGTCAACTCTGGTCCATGATCATCTCCTACATGTACGTCTGGTCTTACCATGTGTCAACTCTGGTCCATGTTGGTCTTGTGAGTTTGTATGTTGGTGAATGAGGAGAGGGATTGGAGCCAAAAACCTTCTCCTTCCTTTGTTTCTCTCCATATCATGCTTCTATAGTTTCATTTTTCCTGCACTTGAAACACAATTCTAACTTTTACTACGATTATGTTGTGTTCCCGGGTCTAGGCCTCAGGCTGTGGTCAGGCTGTGGTCCCGGCTGTGGTCCCGGCTGTGGTCCGGGCCGTGGTCCGGGCCGTGGTCCGGGCCGTGGTCCGGTCCGTGGTCCGGGCCGTGGTCCGGGCCGTGGTCCGGGCCGTGGTCCGGGCCGTGGTCCGGGCCGTGGTCCGGGCCGTGGTCCGGGCCGTGGTCCGGGCCGTGGTCCGGGCCGTGGTCCGGTCCGTGGTCCGGGCCGTGGTCCGGGCCGTGGTCCGGTCCGTGGGCCGGGCCGTGGTCCGGTCCGGGCCGTGGTCCGGGCCGTGGTCCTGTCTCTGTTCTCTCTGATGCGGCTCTTATTTTCAGACTGAGTGAATCTTCCTCTTCAACCATTGTCATTCTTTTGTTTTGCGTCGCAGCCTTCGACACGACAACGACAATTGCAGAGTTTTATTTATGAGGTGGAATGAGAGGAGATGCTTTTTATCCGTCTGTTTGGTTTTGTTTCTGATGCGACGGCTCTGGCTGATCAACAAAACTGACATGAATCCCACAAATATATTTATTGGTATAGCGCACATATAGAAACTAAATGCAACCCTTGTTGTTTATATTTGGGCCTAATAGATTAATAAATCAGACATACACAGCAGCTGCACTGTACAGAAATTGACTTTTGGTTTTATAATGAAATGGAAAATGTATAGAAAAGTTCACTTATGCACAAACATACTTACTTTTTACTTTTAGCTATGAAGATATAAAAAGTAACTTTTTTTATAAAACATTTATTCAATTTGTCTTTTATAGTTTTGTGGGTAAAGAAGTGAATAAGTGAATTAGATGCTAAATAATCAATCGCTGTGTCAGAATTGTTGATTTTTGAGAATTTGTTGACTTCTCTGTAAGAAAGTCCTGGGTTCAATTCAACGTCCAGGCATGGGCTTTCTGTGTAGGTTTCTTCCAGGTGCTCCGGTTTCCCCTACCACTACAAACATGTACAACAGATCCTCGTTTCAGTGTTGTGTGACCTCTGAAATGTGCTTTTTAAATGACTTACCTGAGACCAAAGACACATACTGCAGCGATACAGTGCTCCCTCCTACTTTGCTACGTAACCTTTGGTGGTGGTTAACAAGAAGGTTCGAATCCCGGTCTGAACAGGGCCTTTCTGAGTGGAGTTTGTACAATCTCTCAGTGTCTGTGTAGGTTTCCTCCAGGTGCTCCGGTTTCCTCTACACTAAAAACATGCCAGTAGGTCTGGCCTGCAGCACTATATAAATAATGATTACTAATTTCTGGGGAAGAAGCCACCGCCTTAATGTTAGCCCCGCCCACATACAAACTCATTAACGTTCATTAGCGTAGCATTGTTGTACATAAACAAGTCATTTCTGTTTCGTCATGCTTTTTGTTTGGCATTTTTATTGGTCTGCTTCTTCCAAGTGAACCTTGACGTCCCATTTTCAGTCATTTCCTCCGTTACATTAAGAACTGAACGCCAGAGGCAGGGAAATAATCATATCTGTGAAATGATTCCCACTGACTTTTTAATGGCGTTCTTGGATCAAAACTCAGAAACACAATGTGGCAGCAGCGAGGTGTGCACGGACTACAGTCAGATCAGACATGTTCAAGGTTAATCATACAGTCTGTGCAGGATATAATTATGTATGGTAAAACCGTGGCAATAGCAGAAATGACTGCTTCCTTTTGGTCGACAGACTCACCATCATTTACAGACAGGATCGGAACCAACAAAGGACAATGACAAAGACCTTCATGATTAACATGTAAATAGTACAAGGCCTTCCTCCTGGCAAAACATTGGATTAACATACAAACTTTAGACTTGCCTCTTAGATACTTTATTGATCCTTGTTGGAGAAATTCAGGTGTCCAGTAGCGGAATAAATAAAATTGATCATTCTAAAAAGCTAACAATAGTAATAATCAGCAACAGCCTCAGGTCACAGCAGCAGAGGTGGAGTAGCCTCTGGGTGGAGCAGGACGGGTCACAGCAGCAGAGGTGGAGTAGCCTCTGGGTGGAGCAGGACAGGTCACAGCAGCAGAGGTGGAGTAGCCTCTGGGTGGAGCAGGACGGGTCACAGCAGCAGAGGTGGAGTTGCCTCTGAGTGGAGGAGGACAGGTCACAGCAGCAGAGGTGGAGTAGCCTCTGGGTGGAGCAGGACAGGTCACAGCAGCAGAGGTGGAGTAGCCTCTGGGTGGAGCAGGACAGGTCACAGAAGCAGAGGTGGAGTAGCCTCTGGGTGGAGCAGGACGGGTCACAGCAGCAGAGGTGGAGTAGCCTCTGGGTGGAGCAGGACAGGTCACAGCAGCAGAGGTGGAGTAGCCTCTGGGTGGAGCAGGACAGGTCACAGCAGCAGAGGTGGAGTAGCCTCTGGGTGGAGTAGCCTCTGGGTGGAGCAGGACAGGTCACAGCAGCAGAGGTGGAGTAGCCTCTGGGTGGAGCAGGACGGGTCACAGCAGCAGAGGTGGAGTAGCCTCTGGGTGGAGCAGGACGGGTCACAGCAGCAGAGGTGGAGTAGCCTCTGGGTGGAGCAGGACAGGTCACAGCAGCAGAGGTGGAGTAGCCTCTGGGTGGAGTAGCCTCTGGGTGGAGCAGGACAGGTCACAGCAGCAGAGGTGGAGTAGCCTCTGGGTGGAGCAGGACGGGTCACAGCAGCAGAGGTGGAGTAGCCTCTGGGTGGAGCAGGACGGGTCACAGCAGCAGAGGTGGAGTAGCCTCTGGGTGGAGCAGGACGGGTCACAGCAGCAGAGGTGGAGTAGCCTCTGGGTGGAGCGGGACAGGTCACAGAAGCAGAGGTGGAGTAGCCTCTGGGTGGAGCAGGACGGGTCACAGCAGCAGAGGTGGAGTAGCCTCTGGGTGGAGCGGGACAGGTCACAGCTGCAGAGGTGGAGTAGCCTCTGGGTGGAGCAGGACGGGTCACAGCAGCAGAGGTGGAGTAGCCTCTGGGTGGAGCAGGACGGGTCACAGCAGCAGAGGTGGAGTAGCCTCTGGGTGGAGCAGGACAGGTCACAGCAGCAGAGGTGGAGTAGCCTCTGGGTGGAGCGGGACAGGTCACAGAAGCAGAGGTGGAGTAGCCTCTGGGTGGAGCAGGACGGGTCACAGCAGCAGAGGTGGAGTAGCCTCTGGGTGGAGCGGGACAGGTCACAGCAGCAGAGGTGGAGTAGCCTCTGGGTGGAGCAGGACAGGTCACAGAAGCAGAGGTGGAGTAGCCTCTGGGTGGAGCAGGACGGGTCACAGCAGCAGAGGTGGAGTAGCCTCTGGGTGGAGCGGGACAGGTCACAGCTGCAGAGGTGGAGTAGAACATTGCATACTTATTTATCATTATTATGTTCAAGATGAAGACGTTGTTCTTTGACTAATAAACTAATAAAGTGACTAATCTTGAACCCCCTTCGCCCAGACCGTCTGAAGCCAAAGGTGAATGACAATACAGCCACTATTTTAGCATCACATCTGATTAGTTAAACACGTAAACATTCTCATGTCAGTTACATACGTGTTTTTGTCTCCGCAGCGGCTGTCTCCGTGGGTCGGATTGAGGAAGATCAACGTGTCGTACTGGGGCTGGGAGGACATGTCTCCGTTCACCAACACCAGTCTGCGGTGGCTCCCCGGGGAACCCAGCGACTCCGGGTTCTGTGCCTACCTCGAGGAGCCTCAGGTGTCGGGGCTCAGGGCCAATCCCTGCACTGCCACCGCCCACGGACTGATCTGTGAGAAGACCGCGGGTAAGAAGCTCACGGATACACGCAGGACTGGGGCTGAGACTGGGGCTGAGACTGGGGCTGAGACTATGGCAGCCAGAGCTCAGTCTTATACTTCCTGTGTGCAGGGAACCCCAGCCAGAGCTCAGTCTTATACTTCCTGTGTGCAGGGAACCCCAGCCAGAGCTCAGTCTTATACTTCCTGTGTGCAGGGAACCCCAGCCAGAGCTCAGTCTTATACTTCCTGTGTGCAGGGAACCCCAGCCAGAGCTCAGTCTTATACTTCCTGTGTGCAGGGAACCCCAGCCAGAGCTCAGTCTTATACTTCCTGTGTGCAGGGAACCCCAGCCAGAGCTCAGTCTTATACTTCCTGTGTGCAGGGAACCCCAGCCAGAGCTCAGTCTTATACTTCCTGTGTGCAGGGAACCCCAGCCAGAGCTCAGTCTTATACTTCCTGTGTGCAGGGAACCCCAGCCAGAGCTCAGTCTTATACTTCCTGTGTGCAGGAAACCCCAGCCAGAGCTCAGTCTTATACTTCCTGTGTGCAGGGAACCCCAGCCAGAGCTCAGTCTTATACTTCCTGTGTGCAGGGAACCCCAGCCAGAGCTCAGTCTTATACTTCCTGTGTGCAGGGAACCCCAGCCAGAGCTCCCGTCCGTCCTGTAAGAAGCCGTGCTCGCTCCACAGCAGCTGCTCCAACTGCACCAGTCAGGCCATGGAGTGTATGTGGTGCAGCAGCTCCCAGCGCTGCGTGGACTCCACCGCCTACGTCATCTCCTTCCCCTACGGCCAGTGCCTGGAGTGGCAGACCGGAGACTGTGTCGGTGAGTGTGACAGACTGTGTCGGTGAGTGTGACAGACTGTGTCGGTGAGTGTGACAGACTGTGTCGGTGAGTGTGACAGACAGTGTCGGTGAGTGTGACAGACAGTGTCGGTGAGTGTGACAGACAGTGTCGGTGAGTGTGACAGACTGTGTCGGTGAGTGTGACAGACTGTGTCGGTGAGTGTGACAGACTGTGTCGGTGAGTGTGACAGACAGTGTCGGTGAGTGTGACAGACCGTGTCGGTGAGTGTGACAGACAGTGTCGGTGAGTGTGACAGACTGTGTCGGTGAGTGTGACAGACAGTGTCGGTGAGTGTGACAGACTGTGTCGGTGAGTGTGACAGACCGTGTCGGTGAGTGTGACAGACCGTGTCGGTGAGTGTGACAGACCGTGTCGGTGAGTGTGACAGACCGTGTCGGTGAGTGTGACAGACCGTGTCGGTGAGTGTGACAGACTGTGTCGGTGAGTGTGACAGACTGTGTCGGTGAGTGTGGCAGACCGTGTCGGTGAGTGTGACAGACTGTGTCGGTGAGTGTGACAGACAGTGTCGGTGAGTGTGACAGACAGTGTCGGTGAGTGTGACAGACTGTGTCGGTGAGTGTGACAGACTGTGTCGGTGAGTGTGACAGACTGTGTCGGTGAGTGTGACAGACTGTGTCGGTGAGTGTGACAGACTGTGTCGGTGAGTGTGACAGACTGTGTCGGTGAGTGTGACAGACAGTGTCGGTGAGTGTGACAGACAGTGTCGGTGAGTGTGACAGACAGTGTCGGTGAGTGTGACAGACCGTGTCGGTGAGTGTGACAGACAGTGTCGGTGAGTGTGACAGACCGTGTCGGTGAGTGTGACAGACAGTGTCGGTGAGTGTGACAGACAGTGTCGGTGAGTGTGACAGACCGTGTCGGTGAGTGTGACAGACTGTGTCGGTGAGTGTGACAGACTGTGTCGGTGAGTGTGACAGACCGTGTCGGTGAGTGTGACAGACAGTGTCGGTGAGTGTGACAGACTGTGTCGGTGAGTGTGACAGACTGTGTCGGTGAGTGTGACAGACTGTGTCGGTGAGTGTGACAGACTGTGTCGGTGAGTGTGACAGACTGTGTCGGTGAGTGTGACAGACTGTGTCGGTGAGTGTGACAGACAGTGTCGGTGAGTGTGACAGACAGTGTCGGTGAGTGTGACAGACAGTGTCGGTGAGTGTGACAGACCGTGTCGGTGAGTGTGACAGACAGTGTCGGTGAGTGTGACAGACCGTGTCGGTGAGTGTGACAGACAGTGTCGGTGAGTGTGACAGACAGTGTCGGTGAGTGTGACAGACCGTGTCGGTGAGTGTGACAGTGTCGGTGAGTGTGACAGACTGTGTCGGTGAGTGTGACAGACCGTGTCGGTGAGTGTGACAGACCGTGTCGGTGAGTGTGACAGACTGTGTCGGTGAGTGTGACAGACTGTGTCGGTGAGTGTGACAGACAGTGTCGGTGAGTGTGACAGACTGTGTCGGTGAGTGTGACAGACCGTGTCGGTGAGTGTGACAGACAGTGTCGGTGAGTGTGGCAGACTGTGTCGGTGAGTGTGACAGACTGTGTCGGTGAGTGTGACAGACTGTGTCGGTGAGTGTGACAGACTGTGTCGGTGAGTGTGACAGACTGTGTCGGTGAGTGTGACAGACTGTGTCGGTGAGTGTGACAGACTGTGTCGGTGAGTGTGACAGACTGTGTCGGTGAGTGTGACAGACCGTGTCGGTGAGTGTGACAGACCGTGTCGGTGAGTGTGACAGACTGTGTCGGTGAGTGTGACAGACAGTGTCGGTGAGTGTGACAGACAGTGTCGGTGAGTGTGACAGACTGTGTCGGTGAGTGTGACAGACTGTGTCGGTGAGTGTGACAGACTGTGTCGGTGAGTGTGACAGACTGTGTCGGTGAGTGTGACAGACTGTGTCGGTGAGTGTGACAGACTGTGTCGGTGAGTGTGACAGACAGTGTCGGTGAGTGTGACAGACAGTGTCGGTGAGTGTGACAGACAGTGTCGGTGAGTGTGACAGACTGTGTCGGTGAGTGTGACAGACTGTGTCGGTGAGTGTGACAGACTGTGTCGGTGAGTGTGACAGACAGTGTCGGTGAGTGTGACAGACAGTGTCGGTGAGTGTGACAGACGTGTCGGTGAGTGTGACAGACAGTGTCGGTGAGTGTGACAGACAGTGTCGGTGAGTGTGACAGACAGTGTCGGTGAGTGTGACAGACCGTGTCGGTGAGTGTGACAGACAGTGTCGGTGAGTGTGACAGACCGTGTCGGTGGTGTGACAGACAGTGTCGGTGAGTGTGACAGACAGTGTCGGTGAGTGTGACAGACGTGTCGGTGAGTGTGACAGACTGTGTCGGTGAGTGTGACAGACAGTGTCGGTGAGTGTGACAGACGTGTCGGTGAGTGTGACAGACAGTGTCGGTGAGTGTGACAGACCGTGTCGGTGAGTGTGACAGACCGTGTCGGTGAGTGTGACAGACAGTGTCGGTGAGTGTGACAGACTGTGTCGGTGAGTGTGACAGACCGTGTCGGTGAGTGTGACAGACCGTGTCGGTGAGTGTGACAGACCGTGTCGGTGAGTGTGACAGACAGTGTCGGTGAGTGTGGCAGACTGTGTCGGTGAGTGTGACAGACTGTGTCGGTGAGTGTGACAGACTGTGTCGGTGAGTGTGACAGACTGTGTCGGTGAGTGTGACAGACAGTGTCGGTGAGTGTGACAGACTGTGTCGGTGAGTGTGACAGACGTGTCGGTGAGTGTGACAGACAGTGTCGGTGAGTGTGACAGACGTGTCGGTGAGTGTGACAGACGTGTCGGTGAGTGTGACAGACGTGTCGGTGAGTGTGACAGACTGTGTCGGTGAGTGTGACAGAGTCTGAGTGTGCGCGTGTCGTGAGTGTGACAGACAGTGTCGGTGAGTGTGCAGACAGTGGTCGGTGAGTGTGACAGACGTGTCGGTGAGTGTGACAGACAGTGTCGGTGAGTGTGACAGACGTGTCGGTGAGTGTGACAGACGTGTCGGTGAGTGTGACAGACGTGTCGGTGAGTGTGACAGACAGTGTCGGTGAGTGTGACAGACGTGTCGGTGAGTGTGACAGACGTGTCGGTGAGTGTGACAGACTGTGTCGGTGAGTGTGACAGACTGTGTCGGTGAGTGTGACAGACGTGTCGTGAGTGTGACAGACGTGTCGGTGAGTGTGACAGACAGTGTCGGTGAGTGTGACAGACAGTGTCGGTGAGTGTGACAGACAGTGTCGGTGAGTGTGACAGACAGTGTCGGTGAGTGTGACAGACAGTGTCGGTGAGTGTGGCAGACAGTGTCGGTGAGTGTGACAGACAGTGTCGGTGAGTGTGACAGACCGTGTCGGTGAGTGTGACAGACCGTGTCGGTGAGTGTGACAGACTGTGTCGGTGAGTGTGACAGACTGTGTCGGTGAGTGTGACAGACAGTGTCGGTGAGTGTGGCAGACAGTGTCGGTGAGTGTGACAGACAGTGTCGGTGAGTGTGACAGACAGTGTCGGTGAGTGTGGCAGACTGTGTCGGTGAGTGTGACAGACTGTGTCGGTGAGTGTGACAGACTGTGTCGGTGAGTGTGACAGACAGTGTCGGTGAGTGTGACAGACTGTGTCGGTGAGTGTGACAGACCGTGTCGGTGAGTGTGACAGACCGTGTCGGTGAGTGTGGCAGACTGTGTCGGTGAGTGTGACAGACAGTGTCGGTGAGTGTGACAGACAGTGTCGGTGAGTGTGACAGACCGTGTCGGTGAGTGTGACAGACAGTGTCGGTGAGTGTGACAGACAGTGTCGGTGAGTGTGACAGACAGTGTCGGTGAGTGTGACAGACAGTGTCGGTGAGTGTGGCAGACTGTGTCAGTGTCTGAAGCAGGTATTGCGGGGATCAGCATTAATCTGGCCCAGATTGGCCCAGATTGGCTTCTGTAAAGTGGTCGATAGTTCATCACTCAGAGATGGGGTTTTAAGGAGAGGGAAAAATCTTTGAAGTGAAGGTTTTTGTGTCCGAGGGAAAGTGTTAGTTTCAGATTTGCTTTGGAAGCTGTTTTGGGTAATGGTCAATTAGCTGCTCATAGACTCACTCAGTGTTTGATTTCCCTGTTGACCCAGACACAAATGGATTCTTTACATTACCTGCTCTGAGAAGATCAAGGCTGCTCCTGGACTTTCTGTAAATGAGAAGACGGTGTTTTGGGAAAACCAGCTGTAAAAGTGTTTTCTCCTTTTAGGCTCTTTTAAAATCCAATTATGCTTACAGCGGAGAAAGGAAGAAAAGGATCAGTCCAACAAATCCTGTAACACAATGGTCATTTTAGTTTCTGTTGGAAGCATCACAGATCTTCATCTTTAACTGTGTTCACTTAAAGATTCACCCCAAATTAATTCATAGAAATATAAACAATATAATTATTTGTTTGATAATAATAATCATGATGTATCCGTTTTATACAAAGCTTTTCTTCATATCATTATTTATTTACTCTATACATGAGGGTGATGGAATACTGCTGTAGCCACAGCTGCCCTGGGGCACACAGAAGAATCAGTCTGTGCCATCGGCCCCTCCCACCATCACCAACCATTCACACACACCAGACTCATTCTAATGTGGGGGAAGTGCCAATAACTGTCTGCACTTCACAGCCGCAGCCGCCCTATTCCCTGGCATCCATCCATCTTCTTCCCCTTAATCCATTCCTGGGTCGGGAGTGGCAGTCAGTACCAGCCCCTCTGATCCTCCTACAGCTGAGTCCACATGAGGTGCTCTGTCTGGGACTCAGCCTGGATCAGTCAGCGGGGACTTCAGTCAAAGTGGGGTTAAGTGTCTTGTCCGAGGACACAACGACAGCAGACAAAGGCCAAGGCTCTTGTAGCTATTTCTTTAGTCTCTGCTTCTGTAATCCTAGTCCCGCTGGTCCAAGAACAGTCCTGTGGTCCCAGAGCAGTCCTGTGGACCCACCGGTCCCAGAACAGCCCTGTGGTCCCAGAACAGTCCTGTGGTCCCACCGGTCCCAGAACAGTCCTGTGGTCCCACCGGTCCCAGACCAGTCCTGTGGTCCCAGAACAGTCCTGTGGTCCCACCGGTCCCAGAACAGTCCTGTGGTCCCACCGGTCCCAGACCAGTCCTGTGGTCCCAGAACAGTCCTGTGGTCCCACCGGTCCCAGAACAGTCCTGTGGTCCCAAAGCAGTCCTGGGGTCCCGCCGGTCCCAGAGCAGTCCTGTGGTCCCACCGGTCCCAGAACAGTCCTGTGGTCCCGCCAGTCCCAGAACAGTCCTGTGGTCCCACCGGTCCCAGAACAGTCCTGTGGTCCCGCCGGTCCCAGAACAGTCCTGTGGTCCCGCCAGTCCCAGAGCAGTTAATTTGATCCAGATTGATGCACTACATGATCCATGACTATTGTGGAGTCCGACGCTGAAGACCTGATCTGGGCCCGGTGGGAACTCTTAGATTCATTTGTGTCGACCGGTGTTTGGTTACTCAGACGTTTTCGGAGCTCGGCGACATTTGTCTTGAGAAATTTGTCCCTTTTGGCGACAGAGGACAGACAAGGTTATCCCATAAATCCTATCAGCACCTTTTATTTCCCCAGACTTCACATTTATTCACTTTGATCCTGCTCCTTCAGTCACCTTCACCAAGCCTCCACTTTGGGCTTCAATGATTTCAGCCACACGCTCCTCTCAGCCTCTGACCACTGCTTCAGGCCATGTACATAGAGGCAATGCTCAGGACATTATTGTGTAGTGTATAACAGGGGGGGGGGGGCTCTTATCCAGGGGGGCTCTTACCCACCTCCCTATAGCCCCGGGTCTCAAGGGCAGGTTATTATTGTAGTTTATTGTTAAAGGAGCAGTGTGTAAAAGTGTGGCCAAAAGTGGTACTGCAGCCTCTCCCACTCTCCCTGACTCAGGTTGCCAGATATGCAGACGAATCCAGCTGGGACCATAACAGCTGAATAGACAAGAGTTTTGTCATCAACAAATCTATAAGCCAGTGTTTTTCAACCTTTTTTGAGCCAAGGCACACTTTTTTCACTGAAAAAATCTTGCGGCACACCTCCAGGAGAAAATGTAAAAATGTATACAGTACTAATGTAAAAATATATACTGTACATACTCTGTGTGATATATAAAGTATATCTTATCTTATAATGTATACAGTATAGTCTGTAGCCTATATTCACAATATACAGTTATTCTCATCAAAATGCTTAAGTCCAGGCCTTGACATTAAGCTTTATTTAATATTTCTCGATACAATTAACAAGAGTTTGGGAATAAAGTGGCACTAACTGTGTGGAAAAAAACTAAGGAAATCCACTCTCTGCCCAAATAGTCAAATAATAACTCACACAAAGAACATGCATTGTTAGTGCATGGGAAAAATGTAGGTATCCAAGCTTTAAATTCAGGAGTTTTGGATGAGGGACACGGGAGGTCCTGAACGCGAGTCCATGGTTCTGTCCGGTCCGCATGTCTGTGGTTCTGTCCACTCGACTATGGTCTGCGCTCGGTACCCAGTTCAGAAGTGCGTTCGCGAGAGCTGTTGTACAAAAATCGTACATTTCATAGTTAAACCACTACAACGCGGCCACAGCTGCCCCGGGGCAGAGCGGAGGATGTTAATCCTGTTCAGAAACGGCATAATTCATTTTCAAAAACGTCTCTATCACTTTCACTTCTCACTCGCCACAAAGCTCTTGTCTCGCTCCCTCCCACATTTGTTGGTCGCATCCAATTTTACCTTTCTCGCCACAATGCTGACCTGTTACAGCCAGTGGTCGCATCCAATTTTTCAGTTTCAAAGTACTTAGCTATCTGCTGCCATCTACTGATTTGAAAAAGTATTACATGGTTACTCACAGTTCAAAACAAGTCACCGCTCGTCAACAGCGAATGCAGTTATTTTTAGACAAAGTAGACGAATTTCTCACGGCACACCAGACAATATCATACGGCACACTAGTGTGCCGCGGCACAGTGGTTGAAAAACACTGCTATAAGCAACACCTTTTTCACAAAGATAGAAATCCTGGTTTTATTCCTTGTTTTGTCGTTAATGATTTGAGAATCATAATGAGACCTTTAATGATGACAGATTAGGGCCCTTTAATGAGGACAGATTAGGGCCCTTTAATGATGACAGATTAGGGCCCTTTAATGATGACAGATTAGGGCCCTTTAATGATGACAGATTAGGGCCCTTTAATGATGACAGATTAGGGCCCTTTAATAATGACAGATTAGGGCCCTTTAATGATGACAGATTAGGGCCCTTTAATGATGACAGATTAGGGCCCTTTAATGATGACAGATTAGGGCCCTTTAATAATGACAGATTAGGGCCCTTTAATGATGACAGATTAGCATGATTTTTAAATAACATTACCTGAAGTCCAGAGGATATGTTTTGACAGAATCTTGGCCAGAGTCTGGATCAATGATTTTTGCCGTGGTCGAACATTCTGCGAACACGGTTTCGTCATGAGGCTTTTGAGTCGAAGTTATGTTTAATTTAGTTTGAGTTTCAAAGAGCCGAGGTCGAGGGGATTCTGTGGCTGTGCTACAATGTTCTTACATCAGTCACACGTGTTCATTCATGCTTCTTCAGCCTCAGAGATTGTGTTAGCATGAGCTGCAAATAATGTGTCAGCATGAGCTGCAAATGTGAAAGAAATTATTAAAAAACAAAGCATGTCACCCCACATGCTTTCTATCTTCAGCCTCATCACATAAAAATATAAAATCCTTCAGTTGTCGCAGCTAAACCGAACTGTTTTAACCTGGATTTAAACATTGTCAGAGTAGACGCCTGTCTCACATTCTCAGGATGACTGTTCTAGATTTGTCTTTTAAGCATGAGGTCATATTATTCATGCCCAAAATGATGAGTGGGCACTTCCTTCAGGCTTCAGTAAGCTACAGGGGGTTAGCATTGAGTTAGCATTGTCCATCTCTACAGTCTATACATGTGTTTTTATCTTCATGTGGAAAACTGTCGGAGCCACGGGAGAATGGATTAAAGTGACAAAGTCTAGACAGAATAATGTTAAAACCAGGGGAGCTTTTATAGTGCGACACCAGGAGAAACTTTGATCACAAAAGCCCGCTGTGACCCTGGAGTCATAAAGTCGTGCCATTTCTGCTAATCCATAATTCAGAAAGTACTTGAAAGCAGCATAAATAAGTAACGTGTGTCTGGATTACTCCAAGAAAACCGCAAAGAAAATGTTTTTACACAAAGCCGGCCCACGATACTACTCAGATAATGCCAACAAAAGATGGACATTTAAATAATTTGAATATTATTTGAATATTTAGCGGCTTTCACAGAAAACAAAGGCAGTTAAAGCAGCAGTCTCCGGTGAAAAGTGCCACTTGCGCCATTGTCAAAACAAACTTAAGTGGTCTTACTTTCTTGGCGATTGCCGCGGCGTTGTCATGGTTTCACATCCATTAGCGGAATATCCAGAGATTTGTTTGACATAAAACCGAGGTAAAAGCACTCAATGCCTTTTCCCGTAAAACAGTAGTGGCATTTTCACCCTGCGAGTGTCTGTCGGGAGCAAAGTGCCGTGCTCAAACTTGTCAAGCACTTTACGGGTCCACAAGTCGTCCTCCAGCCTCAGAAAATAGTTTATATTCCCCGGGTTTCTCTCTGCATGGCACCCGTACTGTCTCATCTCATCACAACGGTTTTAATCTCCTTCTTTGGTCGTTCTTATGCAGGTTTTACATATTTAGTTTTACTTCAGGTTTAGGGCAGTAACAAGTGAAAGTATTATTAAAACTATTCTGTCAATTAGTAAAGGAATTGAGTCATGGTTTATTTTTAACCTTACAAAGAATTGAAATGTCAGTTTTTTCCTGACCAGCTGGACACGCCCACTGCTTCCTGATTGGACGGAACACATTTAAATTCTATAAACACAGACGAAAACCTTTGCCATAGACTTAGACAGACTTTATTGATCCACAGGGAACTGCGTTGTCACAGTAGCTCAAATAGTTTTCCACAATAAAGTAACAATCTGAAGATAATAATAATAATTAATAATAATAATATTGTGAGGATAGAATAATCTTGAGGGAAGTACTCAGGAATATACATATCTGTGAATATTTACACATTTTCAGTATAAAATGCATAGATATCAGAATATACAGTACATACAAGGACAAAGCAGATTGATTCAGATTAGTTTATTATCGTCTCCAGAGCAGAGCTGTGTCTTGGAGCAGGGGCCACAGTTTGGGAAGCATTGGCGGATGGTGATCCTCCCAAAGACAGGGACTGAAATGTAATGAGCCACAGTGGCTGAGTGGTTAGCTCTCTAGCTTCCCATCAAGAAGGTCCTGGGTTCGAATCCCATTGTTTTCCCTGTTCCTTCCCACTAAAAACCTCTGGAGATGACCCTGGGTACTTTATTACGGGTCGGCGTCTCCATGGGTCAAATGCAGAGGACAAAGCTTTATGGTCAAAAATAGTAATTATTAAAGAATGAAATGCAATTGCAGACGTCACATTTAAACAAACTCACTGAGATCCCCCCCCCACCCCTATCTAAAAATCCCCAACCCTCCCCCTCCCTCACCTTAATTAATTCCTTCTTTTCCCTTACAACAATACCCTCCCTCCAACATAAAAACCCCCACTTACCTCAACCCCCACAAACAACCAAACTTCAAATCTATCACCCCCCCAAACCATTTACCCCCACAACAAACTAAACACACCCTTTCCCCTCTCTCTCCAACCACAACAAAAACAACATAATAATAATAATCTCTTCAAAACCAAAAAACCCTACACACACCCACCACACTAACACCCCCTTACACCCCCCCCCACATCCCATTCCTCCCATCTATTAACACCTCACCACTCAATCCCCCCCACAACAAAAAAACCCACCCACTACCCCCCACTCACCCCACACTCAATACTCATATCCTTACCCCCTCCTATCAATTATTAATACTCAACCCTATCATTAAAAAAAACAAAAAACCAACAAACCAAAAACCTCTATCATTAAATCAACCATACCATCCCCACCCATATCTAACCCACTTCCCCACCCCTACCCATCAAACCCTCATACCCCCACTCCACACCCTAAACAACTCCCAATAACAAACAACTCCCCCCTCACTCTCCCAACACTATAACCCCTTATTAATAATACCTACACCAAATTACAACAACACCATTATCCACAAGACAACAATTAAACACAAATTAACAAACACCACATTAAACACCACACACCAAAAATTACAAACAAAACACACACATTACAACACCACAAATCACACCAACACAACATTACACAAAAAAAACCATTCACCCCCCAATACAAACAACTCCATCCATACACAAACACCACCCCC